CATCCCCATCCCATCCCCAGGCCCGTGCTGACCTCCCCGTCTCTCCTCAGGCCGGCCCCCGCCGCTCTGCCATGCGGCCCTGATGGAGCCCAACGCCTTCCCCCACCTCCAGCTCTGGTGTCCCCGTCCTTTTGGCACTTACACCCAAAACAAGCCATGCCCCGTCCCCATCCCCACCCGGAAGCCGTGCCGTCCCCCCGAGGACCCCCCCAGCGCCCGAGGACCCTCCGAGAACACCCCCCCCCCTCTCCCCGCCGCACCGGCAGAGGAAGGCCGCGTGTTGCTGGACACGTGGTACGTCATCAAACCTGGCAACACCAAAGAGAAAGTGGCATTTTTCGTGGCCCACCAATGCGGCGGTGCCGGCGGCCGCGCCAACACCATGAAGGTGAAGGGCAACTGGGGCAGCGAGAGCTCCAAAGCCAAACGGCGCCGGCGTTGCCACCAGCCCGGTAAGATCCCCCATCACGAAGGGGATGGCGAAGCTCCGGACCCTCTTTCTGTGGCCGAAATGGTGGCGTTGGTGGAGCAGCGGGCGGCGTTGGCCGTGCAGAGCTTGATGGAGGTGAACGGCGACGCCAAAGGGCCGCCGGCACCGCCGGGCAGCGACTGCAGCCGCGTGGCCGAGGCCGTGGCACACTTTGAGTCACGGCAACGCGCCGGCGGGCGGCACAACGGGCTGTGTCACCCCAGTGGTGACTGCGCCAGCACCACGGCAGCAACGGCGACAGCAGCGCCGGGCGAAGTCCGCATCGCCTTCCGAATCTCCAGCGCTCGCGACGGCCGCGCCAGCACCGCATCCGGTGAGCCAGCGAGCGCCGGAGGGCGGCCCGGCTGTGTGTTCATGGGTGGAGGTGGTGGCACCCGCGCCAAGGACAAGATCACCTGTGATCTGTATCAGCTCATCAGCCCCTCCCGTGATCAGCTCCCCACCAATGTTGAGTTCTTGTTGGCCAACGCGGCGCCCAACGCTGACCGCGACGGCGCCGATGTGGCCGTGCCGTGCGGCGAAGGGGCGGCGGGCAACAGCAAGGCCGATGGCCCCGAGGGGACGGCGGGCGAAACGGCGGCAGTGGCACGGGACTGCGTGTCTGGCTTCCACGTGGACGTGGTGGTGACGGGGGTGGTGGATCAGTGCGTCTTCTTCGGCAAAGACAGCACCAAGAAGGTGAAGGAGGAGACGGTGCGCTTGGCGGCGCCGCAGGAGGACCCGCCGCCTCCAGGACAGCTCTTCCTCCTGCCCGGTGCCGAGGACACGAACCAAACGGGGCCGGGGATGGAGGCACAGGAGGAAGCGCCGCCCGCCGCCGCCGACCCGTCGCTGTGCCGTCTGTACCGCCACGTGTCGCACGATTTCTTGGAGATCCGCTTCAAGATCCAGCGGCTGCTGGAGCCGCGGCAGTACATGCTGCTGCTGCCGGAGCACGTGATGGTGAAGATTTTCAGCTACCTGCCCACCCAGACCCTGGCCGCCCTCAAATGTTCCTGCCACTACTTCAAATCCATCATCGAGACGTTCGGGGTGCAGGCCACCGACTCGCGCTGGAACCGCGACCCGCTGTATCGCGACGATCCCTGCAAGCAGTGCAAGAAGCACTACGAGAAGGGGGACGTGTCGCTGTGCCGATGGCACCCCAAGCCCTACCACCACGACCTGCCTTACGGCCGCTCCTATTGGATGTGCTGCCGCCGGCCCGACAAGGAAGCGCCCGGCTGCCGCGTGGGGCTGCACGACAACAACTGGGTGCACCCGGCGGCACGCCGCGATGATGGCAGGTGAAGGGACGTGGGGACACGGCGCCGGACCCCCAAAATGGTGGG